TAAAGAGAATATTAGGATTTACAAATAAATTTTATAATAGTTTTTTTTTCTTCTCTTAAATAAAACAATATTTTATCATAAATGATTTAGTTATTAATACAGTTAATTCTTCTTCATTATTAATAATCATGAATATAATAGTTCTTTTTCTGTGTTTAAGTTCTTCACAAATGAAAAAGAAAACATGATTATTTTGTTGAAGAAGAATATTTTGCTGTTGAATTCTGATGAGAAGAAATTTGTTGTGAATATAAAAATACAAAGAAGATATATAGTAATCTAATTTTTTTGTGATATATAATGTTCATCAATATATATAATTTCAATGGAGTCATCACTCCATCCATCATTTGTTGATATATCATCATCTTCTTTTGAATTTGTAATTTTTCCCAATGATAAAGAAAGTCTGTCATGTGACAGAATTAAAGAATCTCGATGATCAATAATATTTTCACTTTTATTCGAAGTTGTTAGTTCATGTAATGATTTATCCATAATACCATTGTTAATATTAGAAGAATTTGTTGTATAAGTAAATGGATATGTATGATGAGAAGATGTTTGAGAAGAAGCATTTGTTATTGGGAGAAATTCAGAACTAAAAAAACATAAGAAATTTATTTCCGGTATTAACAGTGTTTAATCTAGATTTTGTTTTTCGGATGGGCGAATGAAAATTCATCAACATCTAAGTTTCTCTATTGTTCTAAACCTTTCTGTTATTTCTTTAGATTCTAATGATAAGTGAAGTCATATATATGACGTCAAGTAATGAATTTCGATTAAAAATGAAGATGAGTTATATCTACCCACATTCATCTTTATGTTTAGCTTGAAAACTATTCTTATCCTAATTCTCCACTACAATAATTTTGTCATAAAAAAAGTAGTGTTATATATATATATATATAAGAAGTATACTTCTCAGTTGGAATAATAAGTCTTCTTTGAAGAGGTTGTTGTTCATTAATGACAACTAATCGATAGGTAAGATTCAATTTATTATCGATTGACTCATGATACGATGAATTTAATGATTCAGAAGGATCATATCGTTGTAAATTAAGTTTTTGATTTGATATAATTGACTTCGATATTGATGATTTTTTTTGCAAAAATTTATTCGATTTTTTTCGTTTTTTATCAATTTGTATTGAATTTATTTTTGATGTATTATTAATTCGATATTTTCTTCCTTCTTGTTGAATATTATTCGTATTTGTTGGATGAATTCGAGTAGTTCGTAATAAAGTATTCATAGATTCATCTGATATTTTTTCTTTTTGATTGATATGATGAGTTTGTTCCATATGACATTGAATATTCGGTATTCGATTTTCTCTTGTTAAGCGCGTTCGAAAAGGAATAAGAGTATTTCGACGAAAATCTTCCGTTTCACTACAATCATTATTTGGATGAATTATTCGACTAAATACAAAAATATATTTTATTTCTAAAAAAAAAAATATTTTTTCTACTTTTTTATTCCATTAATATGTTCATTTGCTTTTGATTTCTGTATGATATCCGTAGATTGTTGTTGTTGTCGTCGATTTAAATTATTAATAGTTCGTTTTGGAAATGTTGTACTATTTGATTGATTGTATTTAAATTTCTCATCTGTTTTATTGATAAATTGTCGTTGTCGATTATTTTTATAATCATTTTCAATTTCACAATAATAACGTGGCGTACTTGTAAGAAAAGAACTGATTTGATTTTCTTCAATTCGTTGTTTTTTATTTATATCACATGAGATTATTTTTTCTTGATGATTTTTATTTGATATAATAATATGATGTGGATTTATTGTTTGTTCAATTTGAACTCGATCTCTAGGAGATTGTTTTTGATTTAATCGTCTTTTTTCTTGATAACTATTAATATTTTTTTCATTGGATGTTACAGGTAAAATTTGTTTTGTTTGACGAGGTGAGACTAAATTTAATTTTTGTATTGTAGAAACATCTTCTGGAATATTTGTATCTATGATAAAATACAACATCTATATTATTTGATAAATAGAAGGAAGAAAAAATTCATATGAAATTTAAAGATATGTTGTTTAGGTTGTAATAAACTGAAAAAATCAATCTTTTTACTTGAATGAATAATATTAGTTGATTGTTTTTGTTGTCTCGATGAACGATTATTAACTTTTGATAATGAATTATCTAAAGATGTTATTGATTTTTTCGAATTTCTTCGTGGCGGTATACGTGAATACAATGGATATTGTCTATCTAGAATTGATCGATTAATATGGGCTCTTAGTTGTTCTTGATTTGAATTATGATCAATTGGTGCTATTGCTTTTGGTTTAATATGTTGATTGTTTGTTATTCTAGTAATTGAATGACTTTGTTCATTATTATTATTAGTAAGATGTGATGATGATGTTGGTATTGATGGTTCGATAATAATATTTGAATTTATTTTATGTTTTATTTGTTTTAATAATGGTCTATTTGGTTTTCGAGTAATTGTATGTATAGAATTAATATTTATATTATTTGGTGAACGATGTTGTTGAGTCAATGAATGTGTATTTGTTTGTTGATGAAGTTCTTTCAATGTATTTAAACGAGTATCATGATTAATCTTTTCTTTTTCGTTAAATAATGAATTTGAATGATGTTGTTGTTGTTGTTCATGTATATTTTTCTTAATAAGATTTTCAACAGAATGATTTCGTACTAAATTTAGATTTGGAATTCGAATGGATTGTTCGTGATTATTATCATTTATATGAACATTTTCATTCAATGTACTTAATGGTCGATGTATAGTTATATGTTGAGCAGATAAATCTGTTGATAAAGGAAGATCAATACCCGAATCAAGTGATTTATGATAAGTATTTTTATTTTCAAATTGAGATTTTTCTAACTAAAATAACAAGCAAATTCATATTAATTAAACGCTATTTTTTATTATATTTTACTCCATGAATTGATAAAACGGATGAATCATGATATGAATTACGACGCGTATTCGTTATTGAATCGATTTTATCTTTTTTTCTTGATCTTGCACCTAATATTGGTTGTGTTATTAATGTAAATGGATGATTTAAATTAAATAAATTATTCGAAGCATTTGTTTGTGGAGGTGATAACATGAAATATTAATAAATTCAATTCATCGATCTAAATAATATTAAGAAAAATCAAATCTAACGAATATAAAAAGAAATTTCTTTTCACTTCAAAAAAACAGAGGTGAAAAGTGTTTTATTGTCAAATGAAATTTTTTTTCTTCTTTTATATCTGCATTTCTAGGAAATCATACACTTTTGTTAAAATGTATATTTGCATTGTATGCATTTATTGTCATCATCAAATTTACTTCTTATTAAGTATAAAGATATAAAGTTAATACTTATTCAAATGATATATATATATATAAGCAAATTCTTGACGAATTATTCTTAGTTTAATTTAATTTTTAGATTTAATAAAAATCAATCATTGAAATTTTATATTATTTAATTTACTTAGGTAATATTAAACTTGTCTGATGATGATATAAAAATCAAGAGATTTATCTTTGATTAGTTAAAATATGGATTGAATGACTAGAGAAGTTTATGTATGCTATAGACATAAATAAGTTCGTTTTTTTTCTACATCGCAATAATCAAGCACACACGTACGTTTGATAATATTTGAGCATCGATAAAATAAAAGGACATTAGAAATATTACTCAGACATTCTTAAAACATACCTTTATGTCGTTAAATAGGCTTCATTACCTATAATGTCTACGTTAATGTTATGTTGTGATGCTATTTGAGATCTACTGTTTTTCGGTGTGTTGGAATATTATATAGACGAAAATCAAAAATTAGGTAAGAATTGTTTTTTTTACATGAAATCAACATTTTGTTTCTTTTTTAGAATTCTTCTCTCATTTCTTAATTAACATTTATCATCATAGTGTAGGTATATTGTTCAATTATTTCATTGATTTTAATTTTTTTACTCTGTAAAATAGAACTCGACTTCTCTTTTTTTTTGTTCTAGATTTTATACCATTATTGATATATCATATTTTCATCATTCTTTACTTTATATCAATAGGAGTATACGAGAAATACTAATACAATATAACACGCTTATACGATATGAATTCTATCGAATAAATGATAAGAGGATTGTGATATATACAAAAGAATGACAACAGCAGTATTTGTTCGTAGTAACCAAAAGCTCATATTTCCTTTCTATGACTGATGAACAGCATGTATTATTAAATATTGAACGATTGTGTGATAAATCTAACATTTATTTGCAGATTAAAAAATATTAGATGCAATTGGCGTAAATTTCAAATAATTGTTTTAATTCTAAAAATAATTTTCTACAATATATATTCTAATCGATGTCTCTTGAACGATATTTGAAGAAATAAGTTATTTCTGTCATTTCATATTTTTGAATCTGTTATCATTTATCTTATAGGATGAATTTTCTAAATTGAAATATCAAAAAAAATATGTCTCATCAAGTAGATATGTCAATCAATGATTTATATTCATACTGCAAATATATAAAAAAATATTTTTCATAATAACAATAATCATGCATATTTATTAGAGTGTCAATTTAATAAGGTGAATATTATTCAATATTAAAGTTCATCGGTAGTAAAGGAGAAATACAAACTATAAACATACAATTGAAAATATAATTTACTTTCTCTATCTGTTTATTTACAAGGCTATCTTAATGTGCTACGCGTTATATCTGTTTAAATATTCGAATTTTCTTATTAATAATTAGTATTTATTATTGTATTTTCAGAACAATTGAGTAGAGCATTACAGATGGAAGTAATAAATAAAAATTAAAACAATACAAACAGAAATAATAAATGAAAAATTAAACCGAAAAATAAGTTTGCTCCGATTGTATTGGCTCCTCCATTAGCACAATGAGGACATGCGTCAGTTTCTGATGTTGTTGTTGATGTTGCTGTTGTTGTTGTTATTGTTGTTGTTTCTGTTGTTGTTAGTGTTGCTGTTGTTGTTATTGTTGTTGTTATTGTTGTTGTTGCTGTTGTTGTTAGTGTTGCTGTTATTGTTATTGTTGTTGTTGCTGTTCTTATTGTTGTTGCTGTTCTATCTGGTTCCTTTGTTGATGTAGGTACTCTGTTAATAGTATTATAGATCCAGTCGTGATAAAGTGATAATCGAGTATATACTCCTGGATTATTTGGTTGAGCACATCCGGTTCCATAACTTACAATTCCAACTTGCTCCCAGCGATCTCCAAGCCATTGATGAATTGGACCACCACTATCACCTATTTAAACAATTATATGATTGAAAATCGAATTCAATTAAACGAAAGCTTTTTTAACTCACCTTGACATGAATCCTTTCCACCACCATCGACCATTGCACAGAATTGTCGTTCTATATCATAAATTGAATTTACACATCGAGAATCATTATTAGCTATTGTTTTTACACGAACTTGACGTAGTACTTGTGGTGAACTACCACCATGGAGCAATTTACCCCATCCAATTACTGCTAAACGTGTATCAGCTTTTGGATAGTCAAGTCCAGCAGCTTTCGGTGGCAGACAAGTAATACCAGCGTAATTGCTAGGTTCTCCAATATCAACTGGCTCTGAAAGACGAATAAGCGCAATATCATTGATATATCTGGGTGGTGGTACATAGTCTGGATGTTGTATTGTTTCAGCAAATTTACGTATTTGTGGCGATGGATGTGTACCATTATGGACACCAATATGAATTGTATTTTCTCCAAAAGTTATTAGACAATGAGCAGCAGTTACTATCCATTCTTCATTTAAAAGAGCACCGCCACACGAATGTGTACTCAAGAATGATCGCAATGACACAACCCAAGGCCAACTATGTGGTTGAGCATTCTCACCACCAACAATTCTTCCATTAATCCGATCAGATATTGATGGAAATGGTGGCTCATCATGAAAGACAACGGGTGTTGATGAACAACCACATGAAGAACTTGTATTGCATTTAAATACAATTGGATCACCTTTAAAAAAGAAGTAAGTAATTATTACATAACTATATCTTTAAAATGTAAACATTACCAAGTACATCTGGTCCTGGAGTTGGTACTGTAGCAGTTACAATCGGTGGAAGTGTTTGTATAGGTGGTGGATTATTTAATGATGTTTCAATCCAGTTTATAAAAGGTGCTACTCGAGTAAATAGCCCTTCGGTAGCACATATATTACGAAAACCTGTAATACCAACAAGTTGATATTGTTGTATATCTTCCGAAAAGATCATCAATGGACCACCACTATCAACTATAAAAGAAAAGTCCTATTATTAATAAAAAAAAAGAGCACATATGTTAATTAATCAATTACCTTGGCAAGCACCTATAAGAAATAAAAGTCAATTAGAAATTATCAGAAAAGAATAGAATTAAAATATGATTCTTACCAGTTGCACAAAGTTGTAGATCTGGATGTGTTGCTATGTTTTTTGTACATTCAATATTTTCTCGTATAACTTTTTCTTGTAAAAGAACCATTGGTACTGTAGAATTCGATGAATTTGTTGAGGGACCCCATCCTATTGTTATCATATCCATATTTTCTAATGATGTTAAATTTGACAATGAAATTGTTGACACAGTCAATGCTTTGAGATTGAATGGTTCAGTAACACGTACAAGTGCAATATTGTTAACATCCCTACCAATGGTATAATTCGGATGCATGATAGCGTATGACATTCTTCGAAATTGTTCTGTTTCACTACCATTAATTACGTTATGTATACCAGCTTTGATTGTATAGAAACTAGCGAAAAATGTTGCTTGTTGAACACAACTAGCAGCAGTAAGAATAAATATTTCTGAGATAATTGCACCGCCACATAGAGGTGTTACTGAGCCGAGAAGATCTAATCGTATTGAAACCATCCACGAATACTGACCAATGGGTGCTTCTGAACCTTCAAAGATTTTATTTTTATTTGCTTGACATATATTGCTCTGTATAAATGTTAGCAAGAATAATATCCAAAGTAACTTCATGTTGTCGATTCGTTTGAAAAACTAAGAATGATAGAGATATTATAACTAACACGAAGTTATTAACTAGTTGATAACGAAATTCTATCCATTATGCAAATAGATTATTCTTGACTAATTCATATAATTTGTTTTTTTTTATATGAGCTTATCAGTATATTTCAAGTGTATTACAAAGATCTGTTATTATGCTAAAAATATTAATCCTACTTAAATTATATAGAAAGATTGCAGAAAGAATTAAGTAAAAGCTTTTTATTCAATACAATGATAAGAATCTATTGACCAATTCAAAGCAAATATGTTTTTTTTCATAATAGAGATATTTGAGGACATTTGAAATGTAAGTATATATATTCGAAATGAAAGTCATAATAAAAGATCAATTATTTTCGAATAGATAATATTTTATATCGTTAAAGTGAATAATATTTACTTTTTTTTTAATCTTTTGTATGAATATTTTTAATATAAAAGGTATTTTTGTCAGATATTGTTTTAAGTAAAAATTTAAATGTTAATTATTTATTTTTAAGATAAATATGTTATTTGCATAGATTTAATTTTATCTATCAATCAACATTCAAGATAATACATAATATTTGATAGAATAAATACAAAAAAATAATAAAAGACGTAATTACGTATGAGTCATCTTTGTTATTTCATAATATATATGAAAGTCGCAATATGAAAGGAGACCATGAAAAATCTTGCACAATCTCCAATTTAAATTAATATAAGAGGTAGTTGTAAAAGAACAAGTATCGATCGAGCCGCAATTCAGGGACATTCAACCCACTTTCCAAATGAGCCAATAGCATATGGACGCGGAACTTCGGTTTCGCTGTTTCTGGATTAATTCGACACTCGATCTTCCTTTTTTTTTAATTTTAATGATGTCATTTCTCAAAACATTTTTTGTGTCTAATATCCAAATGAATATAAATAACTCATAATAATCATATATTAAATATAACTCTGCTAATGAATTATTATATATAAACGTTTATAAGATGATTTTGAGAATTTTCCTCTTTCAAAGTTTACAATAATTGTCTTCAAAAGAGAAAATATCACTATTAAATCTTCTTAACTTGATTATGAAAAGTATAAATAAAAAAATGGGATAATAAAACACGTCACGTATAACAAAAATCATAAATTCATTGAATGCCTTAGCTTTTAGTTCTCTATCAATCAGCTATTGATAACTCACAAGATGTTAAAATATCAAATACAAGTTTACTGCGAGTTAATATAAATGATATATTCATAAAAAAAAAGTTCTCAATAGAATATATGTATATTTATTAGATCCGTTTTTTCCTGTGTCTATAGATTATAACTCTTAGTTGTGTTCGAATAAAAACTTATTTTTCACGAATTTTCATTAAAAATTCAATTGTATTGAGGTTCGTACGATTTCAAACATTGCTATAGTAATCATGGCTGAGTAACTAATCTCTAATTGATATACATCATAAGATTATGCTGATTAGAAAGAGACATTAAAAGATATATAATTACAAAGATTTAATTGTTATAGTTGATTTCTATTTGTAAGTGTTTGTTTATTTTGAATAAAATAGATTATTAGAAACTTTTTTTTTCTTGAAATATCAGCAAATAAACACTTATTAAATAGCATTATCAATGATAATAATATAAAGTGAATAGAGCGCAGTAGTGTACTTATAATATAAAACTCCAGATATTTATTTAATTGTCTAATAGATAACATTTTCTTTTGTTCTTAGAAAATATCATGCATGTATATTATTTTTTCCATTTCATTTAATAGATTTTTTATATTACTAACATGACTTTTCTAGCAGGAAAAGAATAGAAATGTTATTGAAGCGAATAAGTAATAATTACTTTATGTTACTTTTTCTTATAAACATTTATTTGTTAAAAAGACTAACGATGAATCACAATTATAATAATATCAACAGTTCAATTTTACTTTCTAATGAAAGTTCCAATACTATATCTCTTTCAAAAAGTTCAATATCTGTTTTTATTGAACTACCATTTATATTACTTACAATTATTTTTGCTATGTTCTATGTAATTTTAATAATAATTCGACCAACATTTCGTCGAAATAAACTTAATTGGTTTACTGTTAATGTATGTATTGCGAGTGTATTACTCAGTATAAATGTATTATCAATGAATATTGGTCGACAATTCAATGTACCAAATTACATACCTTGTCGTGTTCAAGGATTTCTTATAATTATGTCTGCTTCTCAACTAATGTATTCACATTGTGTAGTTAGTTTCAGTCGTTTATTAACAATTGTTTATGCAAGTAAACATTTCTTTCGCACAAAATTATGTGTATGGACTTGTATTGGTTTCGGTTGGCTTTTTGCTTTACTTGTATCGTTAATTTACTTGTTTGTAGATGGTTTTCTATGCTTAACACTTACGAAATCAAGATTTTTACCATTTTATACGCTTTTTACTAATCTTATTTTACCTGCTATAATCGTTGCCGTGTGTAATATTCGGATTCTTTGGCATGTACGTCGATCTAGTCGTCAAACACATGCAACCAATGGAAAAAAACGAGGTTGTTATATACGTGATATACGTTTAGTGAAAATCATGATCATTTCCTTTGGCATAGTCTTCACTGGTTGGGTCCCCATCATATTATTACAGACATTCGCTTTATACACGCTCATGAATTCGAGTCTCGGAGTTTACTTTCAGATTCTTCTATCATTAACTATGCTGCATGGTGTTCTTTTCTTAATATATACTAATCCACCTGTACGTCTTTTTATAAAACAAATTGTTGTCAAACGTTATCGAAATATACAATATAGCACTGTATTCATTACAATTCAACATAATATACATTTAATTTCTAATCGCTAATTGAAAATTATCTTAACTTCAACATTTACATATTTTAGTGGCTAAATTATAACAAGAAATACTAAACTATTCTAAAACACTTGTATCATATATATATTAATTTAAATAAAATATATAAATAATACTAATTTAGTTATCATTATTAATAGACTTCATTTATATAATTACATTTAGTCTTTATAAATTGAAAGTATAAATTAGAATAGTATAACAATAGACAACTTGATTATTTTTGAGTATTATTTCTTCGAAGACTTCGTTAATAGATATATTTTAGAATAAAAGTATATAACAATATATTCAATTCTGTTCAGATGATTCAATATTATATGATAAATAAATCTTTATTGATTAAATCATGCATACATAATTTCTAAATAAAACAGCTGTTATAATATTACGATTTTATGTACACCTTTGCTGTCTTCAAATATCAAGCGTCTAATATTCTTTATAAATCAACTATACTAAAAATAGTGCTTCAGACATATTTTGAAATATAATGATAAATAAATAAATTGTATTTGATAATTATATTTTCTATTTATCCTGTTTATTGTTGAACAAAATCATACATTTCATTCATCAGTAAACATGAAAAATACTGAGGAAAAAATAGTCATTACTTGTGCATGATGTGCAATATTTTATGACTTTATTAAAAACATGTAAGTGTTGAATAAGTGGTAATTTAACATGAAATAGTCATGAAAGTGAACAGTGAGATAGCTATGGAAGTCATCTGATCAACCAATATTCAGGGATCTATCACAGATTAACAGTTTATAATGTTCGATCATATGCAAACTCTTTATGAAATATAGAATTAATTGAAAAATGAAGACAAAGAGTATACTTATCAAATATTGACTTTTCTGTTTCGTATAGTATTTTTAGAAGTGTCTATAATGCAATATTAAATTTAATTTATTCCATAAAAACATTTTAGAATAATAAAGAGAATGACAAAAGTGGTTACTATAAATGAATGTACATTTATGACATTATTTAAGAGTCAAAATAAAAATAACAGTCTCAAAAATTCTTATAACTATACAAGAGAGTAAAAAACTAAATCTTTTCAATAAAATTTCACTGTATATTTAGTAAGAATATTTTTACGAACTTATTATTTGTAGAATGTACTTTTTATGCTGTACAAACGTGTTTCATATTGTTTTAATATTGTGACTCATCTTGATATTTTTTGTACTTATTAGAAAAAAAACAAAAACAAATGATTCATTCTCTCGAATCTTCGTTGCGAAAACATGTACTTTTTTCAGTGAACCGCATGTTATTGACTTATTCATTGCTTGATTTTTGTCATATAAATATTGACACTCGCGGTACACTTACCTCACTGTCTAACAAACACAAAAAAACAACACGTTGATATAATTTATTTTACATGGCGTCGTCAACGGAACCAAAGAGAGAAGGATGGGGTGGTGGTGGTCGTCGACATGGACCTCCAACAGAAGAAGAACGTCGTCAACATGAAGCTGAATTTCAACAAGATTTTTTAAATGAATATCGCAAACGATATGGTGATGCATCTATTTCATCTGATCAAGTATGGGAATTATTTCAAGCAACAGAAGATCAATGGCATGCTAAGATGAAGGAACGTCATCGTCGTCATTCACCAAATCATGGTGGTCCTCCACCACATCATGGTGGTCCCCCACCACATCATGGCGGTCCTCCTCCTCATTTCGAAGAAATGCGCAAGCGAGTCCTATCAGAATTACAGCAAGAATTTTATAACGATTTTAAAACTACATACAGTGCTAATAAAATTAATGCCGATCAAGCATGGGTTCTTATTCAAAAATTGCAAAAAAGTAAACATGAAAAATTTGAAGCCGATCGACGAAAACACGGTCATGGACCACCGCCGCCTCATCAATAAATTTGATCATACACAGATTAAAACAATATAGATAACTTTTTCTCAACTAAATTTGATATATAATAAATTTCTTTTATAATAAATAATATCATAACTGAAAACATGCATTGTTTTTATTCATAATAAGCATATAGCAATTATTATAATTATCACTGCTCTAAACAAACATATAGTCAGTCTTATTATTTTACTCATTTCAAATTGTTTTACGCAAATAAACATCGTAGCATAGAGAATAAAGGAAAGAAAATCCATATAAAACAGACAATAGAGATAAATGTTCTTCTAAATACTATTTTGATAAGGTGCATTACGGACATGATGCCTAAGTGAAAAGAAACTAGGTTAATGAGAAGATATTTCTGACACTAACAAGATATATTTTATATGAAAAGAATATTTTAACAAAAAACAAAATTATTTTTTCTTCTTTGGACACGGTTCAATCTCTGAGACAAGTTGTCGAAACCGTTGTTGTATACGTTTATCATTAATACATGCAAAACCACCATGTCGAACTTTCTGTTCAGCTTGTCGATTCATATCACCAATACATACCCATGAATCATCATTACTAACAAGCCATTTCGAATGATCATGATGTACAGTAAAATTAAATGATAATTTTTCAATATTTTCAGTATGATATTGACCTGTACAGTTTGATGGTAAATTAATTTGTCTACCATTTGACCATGTTTCACTTAACATTGACGTGCCAAGTGTAGGTACTATCAATTCACTTAACATATCGATATTAGATAAACCATATTTTGAAAATGTATGAATTTCAATCGATGAAATATTTAATGGATAAAAACGAGTATATGGTGGTTCAGTAATATGACCTTTATTTGTAATAATACTATTTGAAAGAATTGGATAACGATTAATTGCAGATGAAGTTAAACTGGAATTAAAAACTAATGGACGTGTAAACATAAAATGTGTAGATAGTAAATCTATTGAATTTATTGGTAACGACGTAGATGTATTAAGTGTCATACATAACATTGTCTGACCAAATACACGACCTAATAAATATATATAAAGAAATACAAAAAATTCGATTAAATATTATATATGAATGTACCTGAATCAGGATATCCATATCCTTGTACAATCGGTGGAGGAAAACGTGGTACACTATGTACAAGCCAAAATCCGGTTTGTGTACTATCATCAAATGCGACAACACCTTTTGAATGACCAAAGACTAATGAAATAGGTATATTAGGTGGTTGATCATTATAAAATAGAAATGAATATTCTTTAAATTTATATAATGGTCCTAATGTTAAACCAGTTAATGATGATGGTGTATCAATACTTTCACTTGAAAAACGCCATTTATCTAAAGATGATGAACTATCTAAATAGATATAACCAGTACCATTAGCAACATTAGGATCAACTGAATGTGAAAGTCGTGGTAATTTATATATGATAAACCAATCCACAGGTTCATTTAAATGATTTCGACATACACATGGTGGTATTGATGATGATGATGAACTTTTATGAAAGAATAATAAATATTGGGAACCAAAAATGATAAAGATAAGTAAAGATATAAGGTAGCATAACAGAGCCTATTAATTTTTAAAACATAGACAAAATTCAATCTTCAAATAAATATTTTACATACCATCGTATATTAATCAGAAATTTTCTCTTTCTGACAACACAAATGAACGTTGCTAAGAGTTAACTCATATTCATATATATATCAGAGGAGAGAGAGAGAAAAAATGAACAACATGGTCGTCCGTTTCTAATATATGAAACATTCTTCTCTACGGTCACAATAGATAGACGACATTCAGTCAATTGACATGGTACAGAATGAGAATACTATCTATAGAATAATACAAAGACAAAATTAGAAAAAATATAATTGGTAGAGAAGCATAAGATTAAAAAACGAATATATTTTTGTTTCATGATTTATTATAATTCTTCAAAAGCTCACAAAATACAACATTCAGAAGTACAATGTTTTAAAACAAAAGCTGAATATAATTATACTGAGAAGTTTTATCATTCAATATCTGGCGGGTGATACACGACTTGAGAAAAAACGACGTTGAACGGTTTTCCATTTTTTTCTAGACATTTTAATGAATTCTTTTTTGTATATTTTCGATGTTAATACAAAAATGAAAAAATGAAGTATAGGTGGAATAAACGAAATGAAATAACCGACCAAAAATAATTTGTATTCCTTTGGTGATTTCATACAATTAGGTAAAAAGGAAATAATTAGACGAGGTAATTCCAAGATAATCAATAAAATTGAACTAAGAATAAGATGTTTATGACGATGAAATCGAAGTTTTAATTGTTGTCGAAAGGTAAATGTTCCTTGTACAGATGAACGTTGTCTTGCGGTAATAATCATAATACTATTGACTAAAATAACATTTAGTGAAAAAGGAATAATAAAATGAAATATATTAATAAATCTGTTATAAATTTCCACTTTCGATGTAAATTTAACCAGACACCATGTTCTTTCCTCATCTATATCATCAATTAGACGACGATGAATTGGATCATGAACAATTGATACAGCAGTCAATACGAAAATCATACATATAATTCGTTTAGCAAATTGTCGACTTTTTGCCTTATCAAAATTAATACCTAGAAAAGCAACAAAAAATTGTTCAATCGTCACAAAAGCATGTAACCAATCAGTCGTTGCTAATAGAAATCGAAGAATAAATTCAATTGAAATACAATTGAATAGAAGAAAAGATCGTCCTGTTATAGTATTCATTTGAGAAGAAATAAGTATCCATAATTTGATATAGAAAAAAATGACGACTAGAATCGATGTAATTGATGAAGTAAAAAGATAAAGGCCACAACCTGTTTTTTGAGTTGATTTTACTTGAAATGTTAGATTTGATAGAATTCCACTAATAACACCAATAATAAGTATTAATGTTCCGAAAGCTATACTAATTTGAACAGGTGAAGGCTGTTGACTTAACGATAGATGTGGATATATATGATAACCTAAAATTGAATCAAGTGAAAGACCAGAATGTTTTGTAGTGAATTGACATTTATCACCATAAAAACATTCTTGACAAACACACATTATTTTTGTTGGACAATGTGGA